GTTTGGAGGGATACTAAGTAGATCACTTTGGCTAAGGGAGAGTAAATTGAGACACACAAGCTAGGGCTAAAAAGGTAGGACACAAGGGTAGAAGACCAGTATAGAAAGTCTTGATTTTCTATAAAGTTCAAATTTTATCTCATAAGTGGTTGGATTAAATAGTTAAAACAGGAAATCAGTCTAAAATAAATAAGAATAATCTAAAAGAATCTTCAAAATGTCTCGAAAGTCAGGCTTTCTCCCTGTCTTCAGTTCTGTTTTTCCTTCCTCCATTTTCCTACTCTACTTTAGTCAGAATGATCTAAAGAATGACACAATTCTATTCAATTTTTAAATGGTGTCATTCTCCTACCTAAAACAGTTCAATAGCTTTACTGTGACTTTCAGATAAAATCCTAGCAATACAACATAACACAGGACCTTAGGATCTGGCCCTAGCTTGTCTCTCCAGACTTGTCACTTACACAACAGGCATCATTCAAACCCTTTTCCATCTGACTGAAACATCCTTCCCGCCTCCCTCTTTCCCTTTTATATCTGGCTGTCATAACTCATTCGGACGTTTCTGCTTAGACACTTCCCTTAAGAAGGTTCTCACGAGTGCAGAGGAGAGGTAAGTTCAAAATTTTAGCTGTGCCAAGAATGTATGAAGTGAGGATTAAATCAATTTCTGTGCCCCTCTCCTTCTCCCTCCTCCCTTCTTCTCTCTGCTCTCCCTCTCTCCTATCTAATTTGTGTGTAGGTATATATACATATATGTATAAAAATTTTGTGTGTGTATATGTACTCTAGAGTCTCTAATATTCATTTATTCATTCCAACTATGCTGAAGACTTTGTCCAAGTATTCTGAGAAAATAATTAATAAAATGCATCCCTATTAACTGTTTAAAAAAAAAAAGAAGAAGAAGGCAGCTCTCAAAGCTTCTCAAATTCAGTTTCAGGTCCCTGAAAAACTATGACAATACTTAGGATCTACACCCTTGTTTGTAGCACACCTTCAGAACAGGGGTGGTTTCTCTGACTTACACTAAATGGCCAGGAACATAAGAAATACCCCAAAATACTTGTTTAAAAAAAATCAAAACACACAAGAAAAGTTAAGTCTATAGAGGCACTCATAAAATAGTAAGAGTTAGGCACAGATTCAGGGATAGACTCACAGCAATAGAAAAGAAGGGATGAACGGGAGCACAGTAAAAGGAAAGCTAAATGTAATATTAACAAACCTGAATTCTGAGTTGACATAATTTGGTATATATAATAAGGTCCATCTTGCACTGTAGTTGCCAAGTCCTGGCTGAGCATCAGAATAATCCAGGGAATCAGGTATTTTGTTGTTGTTTATGATGTATTTTAACTTCCCCTAGACATTCTGTCATATAATTGACTGGTGTTTAGGAACTACACGGATATATCACAAGGTCATTCCTAGTACTAATGTTCTAACTTAACCAAGATATCCAGGATAAGTAACTGAATCAACTTGATAAGTAATTGAACGTTACAGCAGAAGGGAATTACACTACTTAGATTTTTAGGCTGGTTTACCTGGAGTCACAACTCACTTTTAACAGGCGGCCAATAAACATTTGCCTAATGAAGACAACAGGGAACCAGGGAGGGGGAACAGACTTGTAAGAAAGAATAAGTGACATGACTTCCCCAACTGATACTCAACCAATTATCTGTCTTTGAGGCTGCCTCAAAGGAAATCTCTTCCCTTCTGTCTTAAGTGGACATATGTCTTTGGCATTGCTGTTTTGGCTATTTACAGTGACTATCTTCTCTGAGAAAGGGCACCCAATTCCTCTTTAAAGAATTACCCTCCCCAATGAGGGACGGTCTTACAAGCATTGTAAATCAGGTCCTACCCTCCCTTAGCAAATACAGACTTTGTCCTTAACTTTGAAAACCTGAGTAGTGTTCTAACAACAGAAAAATTAGAGCTCATCCATAATGCAGCGGCATTAAGTTCATGGCTGCTTCCTAGATCCCCAGGCTACTCTCCTTTCTCCCTCTCTAACTCACTCTTGTTCTGAAGCTTAATGATCACTTCTATCATCTACTTACAGTATTCTTCTAGTAAGCCCTTGTTTTGTTTAATAAGTCACTTCAATACACAGTATTTGTGAACAAATCAACAAAAACGAATACAGTACTTAATAAACCACCTTCATTGTCTCACTGCCTTAAAGAGTTCCATCTTGTACCCAACCCATACTGTTCTACTCTAGTTTCTGCACTGGGAAGCCATGCATAACCACTGTGGTCCTCCAAACTGGTAGGGTACAGAAAGAAAAAAAGCAAAAAGTTAAGAAATATTCAGCCCTACATGCACACATCATTTTAAATTTTCTAGCACTCATATTTGAAAAAAGAAAAAATTAATTGTAATGATATATTTTATTTAAAACAATGTCCAAACTATTATTTCATCATGTAATCAATATGAAAAAAATACCAAGATGTCTTACTTTTCGTTTAAGTTTTTGAAATATGCATTTTATGCATCCAGCAATATCAGACCAGATGCAAAGTTTTCACAGGTTCAAGTGAAATCTATTTCTTCCCCCAAAAAATAAAGATATATACACACAAACAAATGTGTTACTTTTTAATTTAAGCTAAAATTAAATATTCAGTTCTTCAGTTGCATTAACCCCATTGCAAGTGTTCAGTAGTTCCAAAGAATTAGTACTTAAAGTACTGAGCAGTTAGAGCCGTGAAGAACTCAGGGAACCTTTTCTTCCTGGATCCAGTAGTTGGCAGCACTTTTACACTTCCAACAAATTCCATTATGAAAGAACTTGGAATTGTGTTAAGTACTATTTGAAATATTTCTTCTCTCAAAACCAGTGTTTTCGTGGCTTTGTAACCACAAGTTAACATTTGAGTATAAGACTTATGTTCTGTGTTCTACACTTCAATAAGCAGCAGTACTCCTTTCAGGGATTGTAATTCAAAGCTAAATTAGAGAATAACACCAGCATCCCTGTTAAGCACCAGATCAAGTCCCCACCGCTACACTTCTAACCCAGCTCCCTGCTAATGTGATGAGAAAGCAGCAGAAAATGATCCAAATGCTTGGTCCCCTGCCACTCATGTGGGTGATCCAGGTGACAGTCCTGGCTCCTGACATCAGCATAGCCCAGCCCTGGCTGGTGTGGCTATCTGGGGAGTAAACCAGCAGACAGACCTCTTTCTCCATCTCTCCTTCTAACTTTGTATTTCAAATAAATAATTTTTTTTAAAAAGGCTAAAATTACCCTATTACTCTTAAGCTACTTCTCATTTACTACATTTTGAGGAGTAGCAAGAGACTTGGGACTAATTTTACTAATTTTACAAGTACTTTCATCATCAAGTGATAACATAGAGTTTTAGTGGCAGGTTGAAGAATCTGAATTTTATCCCTCAATCAATAACAGCTATCATAAATTTTGGAGTAAAGGAGTACCAACATCAATGTTTAAGGAAAACAAGTCAGAATTCAGTGGGTAATCAAACTAGTAACAACAGAGGCCCACAGGGAAGGTATAGAGATTCCAGCATCCTTAGCCTTCATATGCTGTCATTTCTCCAGGGAATGCTGCTTTCCTTTTCTTAAGCTGACAAGACATGGACCAATCCTTTAAAACTGACTTCAGAGCCACCTTTTAGTTCCCTGGAGGAAGACGGTAAAATAAGTCATTTCTTTACCTGTTCCTGCAACCCTTCTTTCAAAATCCCAAACAAGTCAAAATTCAGAGTAAAATAGTGGTTGCCAGAGGTTGAGAAGTTGTTTAATGCGGACAGTTTTCATTTTACAAGATGAACAGCTTTGTGTATTGATGGTGGTGATAGTAATACAACAAAGCTAATGACTATAAGGCCCTTCCCCAAACTAACTCCTCTCCTTTCAGCTCTCGGTTTAAATGTTACACTAGTAGGACTGGTTTCCAGGCCTGAATAGTTTAGGTATTCTTGCTGTCACTTCTGATGTATTTCATATGTTTCTCATAGGGTAGTTTTTATCACAACTGTATTCTATACTTAATTATGTGGTATATTAATTTGCTCAGACTATAAACAACAGACTAGGTGGTTCATACAACAGAAACTTATTTTTTCGCTGGCGCCATGGCTCAATAGGCTAATCCTTTACCTGCGGCGCTGGCACACCGGGTTCTAGTCCCGGTCAGGGCACTGGATTCTGTCCCGGTTGCCCCTCTTCCAGGCCAGCTCTGTGCTATGACCCAAGAGTGCAGTGGAGGATGGCCCAAGTGCTTGGGACCTGCACCCCACTGGAGACCAGGAGAAGCACCTGGCTCCTGCCTTCGGATCAGCGTGGTGCGCCGGCCACAGCAGCCATTGGAGGGTGAACCAACGGCAAAAAAGAAGACCTTTCTCTCTGTCTCTCTCTCTCACTGTCTACTCTGCCTGTTAGGGAAAAAAGAAAGAAAGAAAGAAACTTATTTTTTCACAATTCTGTAGGTTAGAAATCTAAGGTCAAGATGTTAGTAAATGTAGTTTTTCCTAAATTCTCCTCGGCCTGCAGAAGCCCTCTACGTACACACATACCTGGTATTTGTAGGTAATCATTTCCTCTTCTTGTAAAGAAATCAGTCATATTGTATAAGGAACCACTCTAAGTGCCTCATTTTATCACCTCTTTAAAGACCCAGTCTCCCAGTCACAGTCACAGCTGGAAGTACCAAGAATGAGGACTTTCAGCATATTAATTTGGGGGGACACAATCCAGCCTATGACATGCTCAACTCTATTGTTCCCACTTGGCAAACTCTGGTAAGAGGGCCTTTGTCTCGTTCTCAAGACCTTCTTAACTTCTGTTCCCTCTTTTGAGTGCGCTCCTCCTCCAACTCTTCATATAATAGGTTTTTCTCAATTTTCAAGCCTCAGTATCATCATCTGGTAAGGGTCATCCCAGACCACCTTGGTTGAAAGAAGCCTAAAAGTCACTCTATCACATCACTGTTTGCTTTCACCCATGGTACTCACCCCTTACTAACGTCCAGGGTGTCAACTCCAGGAAAAGGAATTCATGTATTTTTATGCACTAATGTACAGCAGTGTCTCAGTGAACTGTGAATGAAAGTTTTTGTGATTATTGGGCACATTATAACTTTATTTATTCCATTAAAAAAAAAAACCTGTAGGGTCTTTTAATACTCAAAAAGCTTTGCAAAGCTCAACTTTTTAACATTTAGCAGCTGTGCAAACTCCAGGGAATCCCTTCTCTTTGGGTCTGAGAGTCCCTAACTACACAATGACAACAATATTTTCTCCAAAGGACTAAATAAAATAATCAGGTAAAGTACCCAACTCAAGAATTTCACAGATACTGCATGTGATTAGCTGAAATTCTACGAGGTTAGATGTTTCCCAAAGTGTGGGACCTGAGAATGATGTGGGGAAAAAAATTCATAGACTTCGGGTGGCAAATAACGGAGCATCAGAGCTTTTCATTTTTCAATTGCTTGGATTAGAATAGGGTCTCTCCGGGGTCAGCACTGTGGCGCAGTGGGTTAAAGCCACAGCCTGCAACGCGTGCAACCCACGTGGGTGCTGATTCGAGCCCCGGCTGCTCCACTTCTGCTACAGCTCTCTCCCTACGGCCTGGGATAGCCGTGGAAGACAGCGGTGTAGACGACTAGATGGCAAACACGCCAGAGGCCTCCCTCGGGCCACAAAGGGCGGGAAGCGGACCCCTGAGGCGGCGCGGCCCAAGCCACCGGGGACGGGCGCACGGGCCCCTTCCGTGTCCGGTCTCTCGGGGGTCCGCCCACCGGGTACCGGCCGCTCTCGGCCCCGCGTCGCCGAACCGCCGCCTTACCAAGAGCGCCTCAGGCGGCGGGACCCTCCCTGAGGGACGGCGCCCAGCGCCCGGCCCGCGCCGGAGCGCGAAGTCTGGGGGCGGGGCGACGCACGTTACGTACGACGACGCAGCGCGCACGCGGCAGCACGCATGCGCGGCGCCCCGCGGGAGCCAGCATGGCGGCCGAGCGCAAGACCAAGTTGTCCAAGAACTTGCTGCGCATGAAGGTGCGGGGATGCTGGGGGAGCCGGGCTGGGCAGTAGGGCACCCCGGTCCTCCAGACCCGCCCGGGCCGGCAGCGGGCGTACGGAGAGCACCAGCGGGGGCCCAGGGGGGCTGCCGGCTGCTGGGTCATTCATTCCCTGAGCGCCTGCCCCTGCGCTGGCACCGGGAACTGAACTTCCCGTTTAGCCAGACTCGCCCCTTCAGCCCGCGGACAGGAGCCGGCACTTCCGTAAGCAGGCAGGAAGCCCACGGCGTTCCGAGGGCAGGGTCGGGAAGCGCTGGGCGCCGGGGGCTGCTGGCCGGAAGTGTGCGGCGAGGATGCCGCGTCCTGAACCGAGAGGAAAGCGAGGTCGGGAGGGCGAGCGGCGAGAGAGAAAAGCGGAATGTGTGCACTCGTAGGAGCCGAGGGGAATTCGGAGTGCCTGGGGGCACGGAGGGAGTTGTGGGCCAGGTGAAGACTGGTTTTCCGTTCGTCTTGTGAGCCGGGGAAGCTATGGGGCGCGAAGCTGTCAGCTTCTCCGGCTGCTTTGGTCCTGGGGAGAACACGTTGGTGGGGGAAAGCCAGGCAAGGGGCAACAGTGGAGTCAGACCCGCTAGAAGCCCTGGTGAGCCGAGTAAGGGGTGAGGGTCGCAGGGGAGGTGGGAATGAGGTGAAAAGGGTGGGTTGTGTCACCCCGTTTTAAATCGGGTTTTGGATTTGAAACTAAAGTGCTTTTTATATTTGAAATGGAGTCAACCTAATTGTAATTTCATAGTGGAAAAATTAAAAAGGCAGCAGTGGATAAAACGAACCCGGGAATGACCACAGGGAAGCAGCAAAGCCTGAAGACTTCATTCATGGCTCTTAGTCTCTGCTGTGTGCCAGGTGGATTTTAAGTGTCTTGCATCTATCTATTAGCCCATGTAATTTACATAGTAACCCTCTGAGGTGGCTACAGCCATTATCTTTCTTGTACAGCTGAGGCAACCAAACAGCAGTAGGTAACTTACCGCAGTTACACAGTAACTGAGTACTAACTTGGGCATCCAGGTCCTGAACCCCTGATCTTAAGTACTACCCTTTGCTGCCTGTCACTACTTCTGGATGCAGACTGTTAGATGTCGTGCCTATATAGTGCTGGAATGTCCAGGAAAAACAAGGCATCAGTAATGGAGAGTAAACAGCGCTTGTGCAAGGTGTGACTGGCGTTCAGGATGTACCAGGATGAGTACTGGATGGAGTCAAATTGTTGCGTAACTTACAGCTGGTAAAGTTGTCTCATACATGTGAGCAACATGTGAGTCTTGACTGAATAGACTTTTCTTTTGTTGGTGGTTTGTAATCGTCGATTTCAGAGAAATGGAGTGAGTTGATTGAGCACACATTGAAAAGATTTTAGTGTTTCATTTAGTTCTTGTAATAGGCCAAGTGAAGATGTGCTGGTGAACTAGGGCTGTGTCTGAAGAGCTGACTCTGCAGTTAACAAGAAGGAAATGAACTTAAAACAGTTACTACCCCCATCCAAGCAGAAGGGAAGAGGAAGACTTAACTGGATGTAGGAGCAGAGGAGAGGGCAAAAAAATTATCCACATTCTCTATTTGGGGTTAGCAGCTTTGGTCATTGGTAAGAAAGAGCTTATTGATAGGATGGCAGGAGACACTAAACATGCCGATGGAGTGGAGTGTCCTGCGTGAAGGCATGGGGCATCTGTGCCCCGGATATGATTATAGCTGCCGTAACTGTTCAGCTAGAGCCAAGTAGAGGGCAAGTATGAGAGCACTGACTCATTTGTTTTCAGTGTTCTTTAACTCTTTTGATTGAGTTAACTGTTGGAGGAGGAAGCTCTTGGTGGGAAGTAGAAAAAGAAGGATACAGGTGGAAAGTCACTAGTAGGACCCAGTGATTGTAGAGAGGATGTGTATTTGCAATTTTAACTCTTTTGGAGTCTTAGGACAGGACTTGGTGAACTTCTTTGTTTGTTTGTTTCTTAAGATTTATTTGAGAGGCAGAGAGAGAAAAGTCTTCCATCTGCTGGTTCACTCCCCAAATGGCTACGACAGCCAAAGCTGGGCCGATTCAAAGCCGGGAGCCAAGAGCTTCTTCTGGGTCTCCTACACGGGTGCAGGGACCCAAGGACTTGGGCCATCTTCTACTGCTTTCCCAGGCCACAGCAGAGAGCTGGACCAGAAGTGGAGCAGCCAGAACTCAAACTGGCACTTATATGGGATGCTGGCACCGCAGGCGGTGGCTTTATGCCTTACGCCATAGCGCTGGCCCTGAACTTTGTCTGTGAAGGGTCAGATAGTAAATGTTTTTAAGCTTGTGAACTAGGCCAAATGAGCATGGCTATGTTACAGGAAAACTATATTTGCAGCACACATCCAGCCTGCTGTGGGCCTCAGTTCTGAGTGGAGGCTAGACCACTGGCTTTGCCGTGTGTTCTCAGATGCTGGGGGGTTAGGAGAGTTTGGGAGAAGCTTGATTCATATTCACAGGGTGTTCTGTCATTTCCAGATCTACAGAATGTATCATAAAAAACAGCTACTTGATCATAATGGGAGATCAAAGGTCAGTTGGTCAGGATTGATGAGTTTGACCACCAAGGTATGAGTGATAAAATGAGGCCTCTGCATTATGAAGAGAATGATCCAATAAAGATAATCTGGAAAAATAAGACATGCAGACTCATTTATACTCAGAGACCCTTTATTGAACCCTTGTTGTATACCAGGTCCAGCCTAACTAACAGTTACACAAGGGGAGTGAGAGTGCTGACACCGATTCTGTTTTGCTTTTACAGTTCATGCAAAGGGGATTGGACTCGGAAACCAAGAAGCAGCTCGAAGAGGAAGAGAAGAAGATCATTAGTGAAGAACACTGGTACTTGGATTTGCCAGAGCTGAAAGAGAAAGAGTAGGTTTATTTGGATATGTATTGATGATTCTTGGGACATTCAGAGGGAAATCCTTGTCATGTGACTCGTCACTCCTGTGACAGAAAGCCCATAAAATAGGTTCTCTTCAGTTTCTTGAGTCAGCCTTTTAAGTAGTTTTCTAAAAAAAATAAATAAATATTAAACTTAGAAAAGTTCTAAGTGGTTTATAAGTTTTTACTGATTCCCTGCCATTATTTACATCATTATCCCCTTTTAAAAATACTGAATGGAGGAACATAGCCCTTACCTCTGATAACAGAGGACCTTTTGAAGTAGCTAGAATATTCTTTCTCTCATTAAATTCCAAAAGTTGGGTGTGTGCTTCAGACCAGCAGTGTTGTTTCAGTGAGAACTCCTCACAAGGCCGAACTTTTAAGACTGTTGGGAATGGTGTCTTCTTTTTCTAACTGTAGATACTTTTCTTACCACTCAGGTAAGTTTCTTAGGCTACTGAGCGTGCCAGGAAGTAGGCTAAGCACATTGCATCCCTTGATTACTGAGTGCTCACAGGAAACCTACGAGCTGCCTCCCTCCGTGCCGCACATTGTCTGGCAGAAGAAACTGAAGCTGAAGAGGTCTTGACTTTACCCAGCCCTCGGCTGCTCAGTGCTGAGGCTGCCATAACTCACTCAGCTGTGCCTTGCACGTCTAGACGGCTTGTCCTTATAAACGGTTGTAAAGGAAAGAGTGATGCATTCACATCATCCATTAATTCATTCGAAAACTTACGGAGCTGTTTATCATTTCTCCTTGGAACTTTTCTTAACTGGCATGGAGGAACTATGGGGTTGTTTTACATCAGTTTTTGTCAGATCGCTGATGACGCTGCTGTTATCCTCAGGCATGTTTGTCTTTCTTTTTTTTTTTTTTTTTTTTTAAGATTTTATTTATTTGAGAGGTAGAGTTACAGACAGTGAGAGGGAGAGACATAGAGAAAGGTCTTCTGTCCGTTGGTTCACTCCCCAAATGGCCACAATGGCCTGAGTTGTGCTGAGTGAAGCCAGGAGCCTCTTCCCGGTCTCCCACGTGGGTGCAGGGGCCCAAGCACTTGGGCCGTCTTCTACTGCTTTCCCAGGCCACAGCAGAGAGCTGGATTGGAAGAGGAGCAGCCAGGACTACAACCGGCACCCATATGGGATGCCAGCACCTCAGGCAGAGGATTAACCTACTGTGTCACGGCACTGGCCCGTCTTTCCTTTCTGTAACTGGTTTTTGTTCTGTTACATTCCCTTCTTCATCGGGCCAACCTTCTCTGGGCCTTTTTGGGAAGACAGAAAATAGGTCCCACCAGGAGGGATGGAAGGAAAGTGCCTGGTTTCCTCCGCTTGCTGTTCGGGGGAAGCAGAACCTGTCAGAGATAGAAGGCATTGAAGGTCAGGGAGGAGCAAGGAGCCATTACTAGTAAGGAGCCATAATTTAATTTTGTGCCTGGACCAATATCACAGCAAGTATTCCAGCTGTTTATTGAAGGGCAGGACTGTTTCTGACTTACCAGTATTTTCTATCCCGCAATACAGCATGTTCTTCCTAGAAAATGACCTTTAGACTCCTTTTCTGGAAAAGCAAATAGTAACTTCTTGCCAACACTCAGCATCCTGTTTATGTATAGGTGTGTATGTTAGCTCAGGATGTTGGCAGGAAAAGGTAAGGAGAGCTTCACAGCCTAACGAGTTGTAGGCAGGTAGGAGCACCCCTAGGAACAGAGCGGTACCTTGTGTCTTGGCTAGTGGAAATAATTCCTCTCCAGCCCAGGAGGAGGTGACTACTAAATCTGGAAACAGGCTGTGTGGAGAGAGCATCTTGCAAGAGTTACTACCTTCACTCAAGGGCACAGCCAGCCCCATGTAATGAATCCTGCAGGAAGGGAGTCAGGTACCCAGTGGCAAAGGAGTCACTCAGTATGCTACCTTCAAGTCACCCTCCCAGGACCTCCAGCATGGGGAGAGGGTGGGAGGCAGACCTGC